AATTTTTAAATAATTAAATATGATAGTCTGGTATATTCAGTGAGAATAGCTGTATATGGCATCTTTACCCAAACTAACCATGTATTAGGACATATAAATCTCACAAACCCATGCATATTAAATGTTTTTTACTGACCACCATGCAATAAAATTATATTAAAGGGCTATTCAAGAAAGTATTATGAAAGATCATCAACTGGAGACTAACTCAGTCCTAAAGAATTGGTGGGTCAAAGAACAGATCACAGAAAGAATACTTGCATTAAAGATAATGACAACAATGAGATAACATAAAATTTTAGGATCAGTTGGTCAATAAACATTTGTGCCTACTACATATTAGGCACTGTGCCAAGTGCTGGGGATACAAATAAAAAAGACAGTCCCTACCCTCAAGGAGTTTACAGTCTAATGGGGAAAGACAAAAAGAAATTGAAAAGTGGAGTGAGGGAAGGTACTTATCATGGGAGCATGATGGAGTCCAGTCTAAAGAGGGTGCTGATAATGTCTAAATATCATGGCTGATGCTATCTCCTAGGATGATGAGTTTCCTGACGATGAGGTGCCTCAGGGAATGATGAAGTCCAATTCAAACCAAAGGTACAATACAGGCAAATCAGTCATTAGGGGAACATTTATATCTCTCAATATTTTCATCAATTTCTCAAATTTCTCAGTTTCTCTCTCAAAAAGAGAAAAAGAATAGGTCAGTTGGGCATACAACTAAAAAGAAAATCCTTGGAAACCAACAAATTAAAAAACAAACAAACCACAAACACCAAAGTAGAAATTCTGAAAATCGAGGAAGAGATTAACAAAATTGAAAGCCCCAAACCCCACATTGAATTAATAAATAAAACTAGAAGCTTGGTGTTTATTTGGTTTTTTTTTGGGGGGGGGACACAATAAAATAGATGAATCATTAGCTGATTTGATTAAAAAGACAAAAAGAAGGAAACCAAATTACCGGTATGAAAATAACAAATGAAGAAGAGATAAGGATATTATTAGTAACCATTTTGCTCAACTATATGCCAATAAAACCTACAACTTAAATGGAATAGATGAATATTTACAAAAATACAAAATACCCAGATCAATAGAGCCAGAAGTGGAGAAATTAAATAATCCAATTTCAGAAAAAGAAATTGAACAAGATATAAAAGAGCCTCCCCCCAAAACAAAACAAACCCAGAACCAGAAGGATTCACAAGTGAATTCTGTTAAACAGTCAAAAAAAGCCCCAAAACCAGAAACAAATTACAATATTAAAAAGCTGGGAAAATATTAAAAAAAGAGATCCTACCAAATTTGTTCCATGACAAAAATATGAGCTTGACACCTAAACTATGCAGAGTTAAAACAGAGAAAGACAATTATAGGACAATATCCCTAATGAACATTGATGCAAAAATTTTAAATAAAATATTAGCAAAGGGTCTAGCTTTTGACAAAATACAACAGATATTTCTTTTAAAAATACCAGAAAACATAGGAATAAATGGACCATAACATGGTAAATAGTTACAGCTAAAATCAAGAACTATTATGTAAAGGGAATAAAAAAGTATTTTCCAATAAGATCAAAAGTGAAGCAAAGATGTCAATTGTTACCACTTCTGATACAATATGAAATGCTAGCTATAGCAATAAGAAGAAAAAAATTGAGGAGATAAACACAGGTAAAGAAGAAACAAAATTATTGCTTTTTGTTGTTGATAAGATGTACTTAGAAAACCCTAGAGAATCATCTAAAAATTGAAATAATGAATAACTTTAGCATTGTAAACTAAATCCACACAAATTATCAGTGTTTTTGTATAAAACTAGTAAAATCTAACAAGAAGGAACAGAGCAATTCTTTTGAGAACTCTTCATATCCTTTAACCGCTTATTTACTGAGATGGTTATTAGTCATATATATTTATTTCTTACATAACATAGATACCAAACCCTTATCAGAGAATTTTTTTCCCCTTTGACCACTTCCTTCCTTATCCTATGTGCAATATTTGTCTATACAGAAGCTTTTTAGTTTCATGTAATGTAAATTATAATCTTTTGTAATTACCTGTAGCTTGTTTGGTTAAGAATACATTTCCTACCCATAGCAGTATGAGCTATATGATCTTCTAATTTTTTTTAATAGTCTGATCATTAATATTAATGTCACATATTCATTTAAAATGTATTGTGAAATGTGGTATAAGGTTTTGGTCTAGCTTAATTTCTGCCAGACTGCTTTCCAGTTTTCCTAACAGTTTTTGTTGAATTGGATTCTTGCCATAATAGCTAGGATCTCTGGGTTTATCAAACACTAGGTTACTGTGCTCTTTTGCTTCTGTATTTTGTGTGCCTAATCTGTCACACTGATCAATCTCTTTATTATCCAGTACTAAATTGTTTTGACAATTATAGCTTTGAGGTATAGTTTGAGATTTGGTGCTTCGAGGCCCCCCTCCTTCCCATTTTCCCCCATTGATTCCCTTGATATTTTTTTGACCTTCTTTTCTTCCAGATAAATTGAATTATTTGTTCTCAGACTATAAAGTAATTCTTTAGTAGTTTGAGTGGTATGGTACTGAATAAGTAAATTAACTTAGGTAGTATTATAATTTTTATTATATTGGCGTGGCACATTGAGGTACTATTGATGGAACTGTGAATTGGTCCAACTATTCTGGAAAGCAATTTGGAATTTTGCTCCAAAGTTTACTAAACAGTACATACCCCTTGACCCAGTGATACCACTACTAGGTTTCCAAAGAGATCACAGAAAGAGGAAAAGGCCCTTTATGTATAAAAATGTTTATAGAGGCTCTTTTTGTGTTATCAAAGAATTACAAACTATGGTGTTGACCATCAACTGGGAAATGACAAATTTATGGTATCATTATATAATGGGATATTATTGTGGGTGTAATGGGATATAGAGGCAGGAAGGTGGCACAGTGGATAGAGCAATGGGCTTGGAATCAGGAAGACTCATCTTCCTGATTTCAAATCCAACCTCAGACACTTACTGGCTCTGTGACACTGAGCAAGTCCTTAACCCTGCTTGCCTCAGTTTCCTCATCTGCAAAAGGACCTGGAGAGGGAAATGACAAACCATCCCAGTATCTTTGCCAAGAAAACCTCAAATGAGATCACAAAGAGTCAGACATGACTGAAATGACTCAATAACAATAACATAATGGGATATTATTGAGGGTAACCAACAGGCTTCAAACTTACTGGTGAGTTAGTAGGATATTTACCCAAAGCATATGAAGATTTTCCCTGGTGGAATGGGTGGATGAGAGCAGTTTTTTTCCAGTGACCATGAAGGCAGCTGAAGCAGGCACTGTCTAGTGCTTAGAGCTTGATCAGACATCGAAGATGCCACTGTATCCCAGGCCATGGCCAGTCATCTTGAATTTTGTCCTGCCATTGGATTTAGAGGACTTTGATGACTCTGAAGGAAGAGTGAGGCTGATGATTTTGTGCAGTTCTGCCTCACTTAAATCTAATTCATGTGCAAGTCAAGATATCACCTGCGATGTCACAGGTACTCTTTGAAAATGAAGGACAAACAACATCATGCTGTAAGATATGGAGATGGTTTCAGAGAGACTTGGAAAGATCTGTATGAACTAATGCATAGTGGAATGAGCAGAACCAATTTATACCACAATGTTGCAAAAATGAACAGTTCTGAAAGATTTAAGAACTCTGATTCCAGAGGACTGCTGAACACTGCCCACATTATTACAGCGAGATAATAGATTAATATGTAAAATGAGATGTGAATTTTTGGAAGCGGCCAATGGGGGTATTTTGCTTGACCATATGTATGATACAAGGTTTCTCCTTTCCTCCATCTCTCCCTTTTTCCTCCTTCCCTTTTCTTTCCTTTCTTCCACCCTTTCTTCCTCTCTCCTTCTAGTGGGGATGGTAGGGAATGTGGGGAGGAGAGGAAAAAAAAATGCTATTTCTGAGCCTCTCTGAGAACCAGTGCCCATACTTCTGGGTGGGACAGATGTTTGATAATCACTTTCATAATAACAATAATAGCTAGCATTTATATATTGTTTTAAGGTTTACTTTAAGCACTTTACGTGCTATTTGATCCTCACTGCAATCCTGGGAGGTAGGTGCTATTATTATCCCCATTTTACAGATGAGGAAATTGAGGCTGAGAGAAGTTAAGTGACTTGCCCCAGAGTCACACAGGTAAGTGCCTGAGGCAAGAATTGAACTCTCCTTCCCTAGGAAATGTAGAAGTATACCCATGCCTCAGAAAACTCATATAAGGCAGCATTTGCATTGTCCTTCCTTTTGAACATCTTACTCAGTAGCCTACATCCATCTAGTAACTCCAAAGAACTTTTCAGGATCTCTGCAGAAGTGACCGAAGTGTAGTAAAGTGGCTCTTTCCCAAACTCTACTTAGTGGGGGTCTGTGCACGTTCTAGTGCATATCTTCTCACATTAGGCGGCCATTTCATAGTTCATTGTCATACCAATGTGGTGAATGCTAATCTTTAGCCTGTTGGGCATGCTGATTAGACTCAGCTGGCGTTGTAAATGTAGAAAATGCACACTTCCACACACCATCCTGGACACATGCCTTAAATGTAACCTCGTGTCCCTGTGTCTTAGCTCTCATAGGTTAACATGGTTTGGGTTTTTTTTTGCTCCCCAACTACACATTTTTCAATCTCACAGAATTTCAAATATAGTACTTATTTTGGAGTGGAGATGGTACTGAGAGAAGAAGGTAATAGAAAAAAAGTGGGAGTGATTTTTCAAACTCTTCCTCCACCTCATCTTTCCTATTACAGCCCCATCAATGACTGTCTTAGTGGTATTCAATGTGACTGAAGCAGACACAGTACAAATCGGGATGAAAGAGAACCAATACATAAAAGCTCACGCTAAGATGGAGTAAGTCTGTTTTCAGAGACTATCCTTAAATTCCCCCTGAAATAAAATGGAAAAACTTGAACGTTTCCTCCCTGCTTTGTCTTACATTAACTTTAATATATCAATATTACATATATTATTTGGACACTTCACTGTGGAAACAATCTGTTCACGGGATGGCTGTACGACTGGCAATATTTAGTCTTCACTTTTGATGAATTTAAGTCTTTTCTTTTTGCTTCTAAGATATTGTATACCTATGAAGGAAAAGGAAAAAAGTCAGTATTTCTCAATTTCTATTTTTTTAACTATCAAAGGCAGGACACTGAACAGCTCTCTAATTTATTATGCATGGAAATGGGCACAATGAGAGCATGGCTGGATGATGTCTCTTGTAATATAAAAACTTTACGTTAAGGTTTTTTTCACCCTTCTTTTCCATCAGTACCTGCTAACGAGAACCAAAATTGCTTTGAGTTTCATGACCCTAATTACCAGTTAGTGGGAACGTCAAAGAGCAGGAAAATGACCAGATGGTTGGCATGAAGATGGAAAAGGAATCAAAGAAGGAACCTTGGGCAACTCATCAACAGAATCATTAACCTCAGTGAAATTGGTGTTGATAGTATTTGATGTTCCATCAAAATTCAATAATGAGGAAATTTCTACTGTAGGAGGCAGTATGTTGTACTGGAAAGGGCACAAGATTAGAAGTCAGGAGGGGGTAGTTCTTGTCTTGGCCCTCCTTTTCCTCATATCTGAAATTACAATATGTTCAACTTATTTCTGTGTCTTAGACAATAGGCTTTGTAGATGGACAATGCCTTAGAAGTTATCTAGTCCAAAATGCTCACTGTGTGGGTGGGGAAACTGAGGCCCAGAGAAACTCTAATGGATTGCCTACCTAGTCTCTTAACTTCCAAATGGAAATGATTTAGTCTTATACTAAATCTAGAAATGTTCATATATTTTACTTCATTTCTCTCATTCTTGTTTTACATAAAACACAAAAATAACATCGTACTTGGCGAAGAGATAACTTTTGGATATCTCTAGTTCCTTTGTGTATTATGTATTGTGTCTTTAATTGAACTGTAAACTCCTTCAGGGTAACAGGGACCTTATTTTCTGCTTTTATTTTTATTTTCAGCAAAAAAGTGTTACAGGTCACTGCAGGGACATAATATATTTGTTTAAAGAGCACTATAAGCTTCAGTTTGAAAACGCAGCTAAATATGAATTGGCTAACTCTTAGTAGCACACATTTTTAAAGAATATAAAAGATATATTGGATTTGTATAATACCAAGATCATTATACTTCCTGACTAAATTATAATATTCCTTAATTATTTAAGGAATTCAGACCACAAATACTATGGGCTGACATATTTTAGTGTCAGCCTACTTACACCCAAGAAATTCCAAGATATGAGGTATAACTATATAAAACAATGAAAGTTATTTTTAAAGTTTTTTTAAAGTCTAAATTGGTATTTGATCTAATTTCTTACAGATTACACTTATAGGTACAGCATGCATGACTATCAGTCACTTCTGCTGAAATTCTTCTATGACGGTTTATGTTGTGGAGGTGAGCCTGTGTTTTTAGGAGTTGTGTGCTTAGCAGAGTACACTAAGGGCCTGCTGATATGTTGTCTATTATGTTTGAGGAGCAGTCTTGCTACCATTGGGGTGCTCAGCATCTTCAAGGTAGCTACTCATTCAATAGCAATAGCTCTCTCAAAGATCATCTATTAAGTCCAAGAGGGATCAGTAGAAGGTAACAGATTTAGAGATGGAAAGGACCTTAAATGAGGACACTGGGGCTAAGAGATGTTAAGTGACTTGCCCAAGGTCACACAGCTAGTAAGTGTCTGAGGCAGGACTTGATCTTGGGTCTTCTTAATGCTCTTCTATCCAGGGGCTAGAAATCATGGATCTTTAAAGTGCTGAAGTGTATAAGTATCTCAACAAATTAAATGTGGTGGGGTTGGAATTAGAAAGCTATAAAGTTAGGGTTTTTTTTCTTAGTTAAATTTTATTTTACTTTCACAAAGGTCTGCATTCACTCCCTCCTACTTTCTTCCCTCTACTTCTACCTCAATTAGAAAATAATAAAAATAAAGTCCCTGTTACAGACATGTATAGTTAAGGAAAACAAATTCTTACATTGGTCCTGTCCAGTGGGGTTATATCTCAGACTGCATTGTTAAGTTCATCACCTCTCTATCAGGAAGTGGGCAGCATGTTTCATCATGAGTCCTCTGGAATTGTGTTCATTAGATTTCCTAACTCTTTCAAAATTGTGTACCTTTACAATGTTATTATTATATAACATCCTCCTGGTTCTGCTCACTTCAGTTTGCATTAGTTCACACAAGTGTTCCCAGGTTTCCTTAAAACCATTCTCTTCGTCATTTCTTGCAGCATAATAGTATTCCAAATCACATTCATATATATCATAACTTGTTCTGCCATACCTCAAATTCATGTGTATCCCCCAGCTTTCCAATTCTTTGCTACCACAAAAAGCGCTATTATAAATATTTTTGTACATATAGATCCATTTCCTCCCTTTTTTATTTTTTTTGTTTCTTTGGGATATAAACCTAGTAGTAGCTGGGTCAAAGGGTATACATAGTTTAATAGCTTTTGGAGCATAGTTCCAAATTGCTTTCTAGAATTTCTGGACCAGTTCACAGTTCCACTAACAGTAATAATTAAGTTTTTAAAAATTATTGACATCGTGTAATCAGAACTATTTACATCTCTGACATACTGTGTTTCAAATGGGCTTAGTTTCAATCTCTTCTTTTAATAGTTGCTAACCAGGAGTGAAATTAAATGATATGAGATTTCTTTTCTCTATTTGTTCTCTGTTGAAAGTGATATGAATAAAAGGTGAAAAAGATGAGGGAGGAGAAAAAGTCAGCCATCTGAATAACCTATATTGATAATTCCCAAATAATCAATTGTATCATTGAATAAGAGAACCTTTTTTAAAAATTAAATTTCTTTTGTTACATTTTAAGTTCTAAACTATCTCCCTTCTCTCTTTCCACCTCATACTAGAGAAGACCACCATTTGACACAGATTTATGAATATATGTAAAAGCATATTATGTGTACTTCTATTTATCAGTTCTTTCTCTGGAGATGAATAGCATCTTCCTTCATAGGTCCAACAGGCTAGCTTTTAGTAGTTCTGGAGATTCAGCATTCCTTTCTGAGTCAGATCTAGGGCAAGGATGTTTATTCTGAATAGATGCACATAATGTTGGGAGGACTAGGAGTTTCTGTACTCCAGCGTTTGAGGCAGTGTGACATAATGGGTAGAATGCCAGATGTGGAGTCAGGTAGACCTGGTTCAGGTCTCACCCTCTGACACTTAGCACTGGTTTGACCACTGGCAATTAATGTAAGCTCTCAACCTCAGTTTCCTTATCTGTAAAACTGGGGAGAATCATAGCTATAGTATCTATTTCAGAGGGTTGTTTTGATACTCAAGTAAGATGATATATGGAAAGCCCTTTGCAAACAATATAAATATGAGCTAGTATAGTTAGGAGTGGGCAGAGGTGATGAAGAAGGGGAAGCTAATCATTTCCTATGGCCCTGAGTCTGAGCACTTAGATTGTCTAAATAAGCCTGCTTATGATTCTTGGGTCTTACTCTCTCCTTGTAAGAGAAACCTCATTCAGTACTAAAACACCACTTAGTTTAATCATTTGTATGAGATTGAAAAAATTAATTTTACAGTGATGAAGATGCTGTTTTTCACAGGGGGTAAAACTCTTGTCAGAATATAACTTGGACGTCTCTAGTCAAACTTTATATTTCCTACAATTTCAGTTGGAGACTTGAAAGATCATTTTTTTCTCATGGGATGCTGAATAGTTACTATTTTCTAACCACTAAAACATGTGGCAAAGCTGGAAGATACAAAGCTTGAAATATCCTTCATGACAAAATTGTGTTATAAATATTAATAAGACAGTAATATCAAGTATCAAAATGTTTTGTGATAAAAATTCAAGATGCTGGCCAGATAATAACATATTATTAAGATAAATTCCCTGGGCTTCTCAAAGGCAAATAAATTCATGTCAGACCCTGAAAAAGCTCTCTACGAATTTACTCATGGGGGGATAGTTTATCTGGGATTTGTGCAATTTTAGTGTTGCAAAGTGATTTCCTTAAGGGTTCTCGTGTGTCCTGCATTAAGCTAAAAACTGGTTTCCCACAAGTGGTTTAATATAGGAAAGGACGGATAGGATAAACTGGGCCTCTGATTTCACTGGCATAGGGAACTCCTGTGTAAGGAAACTTCCTCTACCAATGCAGCACATTGTATGCAACTTAAAGTCTTAGAGGGCAGTCTAGAGCATTCAGAGTTTAGATAACTTGTCCAGGGTCACACAGCCAGAAGTGTCAGAGGTGGGACTTAAACTCTTACCTTCCTGGCTTCAAGACCTGCTCTCTATTCACTATGCCACAATGTCATGGAAAGTAATGGGAAAGCAATTATGGAAGCCAGTGACTCATCCATAACTCCTGGAGCATTCATTTCCAGGGTTTCAGGTTAAGTTTGGAAAGACTACCGCAGACCCAGGAGTTTTGTTGCAAACTCTGCCTAGTGCAGGACTTGAGGGGCATGATTTATACAATCATACCTTCCTGTATTTTTTGGGTGCGTATCTCTGTCTGGTGTGTGGTCTGTAATAGAGTTGGAGCAGAACCAGCTATGGGTTCTATAAAAAACCCTAGGAAATGCAACAGTGGCCTGCTGTCTAAAGCTCAACATTCTTTCTGTTGCTTTGGTGTAGAGAAGTTTTAGTGAGTGACTACTGAAGCTGCCTTTCACTGGAAGAAATCTGGTCCAGAGGATAGAGTGGAAGGGGATAATGCAGATAGGGATTTTGAAAAAACTGAGCTGACTTACTGAAATACAGACTTCCTTAAGTATAAGAGCTCAGATTTAATCATGGGCATTGTCACATTATATGGACATTTAAGAGAAGTCTTTAAAATGATAAAATGATGTATGTAAATTGCTTTGTAAATCTCAGTGCTATATACATGTCAATTTTATTTAATATATTGAATAAATTACTAAATTACTGTGAGGTATAATAATTATTAATATTATTAGTAATAACATGTTGACTTACTGCAGTCGTGGACTTTGGCTGTTTTTCTAAACCTTTTGTTCTGTAAGAGATAGAATGGCAGATCACAAAGTGTTTGCAACAGTGAATATAATGGAAATTTTGGCCATCACAATGCCTTGTACTAGTAGATCCTTAATAAATGATGTTGAACTGATTCATTTGTTAAACTTTTTTTTCTCATTTTCAAGGAAACATTCAACAATCTATGATAAAAATATAACTTTAAAAGATCAAGATAAAGCCTATGATAAAAACACAACTTGAAAAGACTAAGGTAAAAAGTTTCCTCGAATAATGTGTGGGCTAGTATCACCGAAGTGAAGTAGCAATATTGAATTAGATTATCTCCACAAGTTTAAACCTTTCTGCAGATTTTCCTTAGGAAATGAGTAAAAGCTAAAAATCTAAGGCTTTTTAAACATTCTCCTATAATCTGCTACCCACATTTAATATCTATGTCCCATCTATGATGAGGCTTTTAGGATCAGCTGACAGAGGCAGTGTTATAGAAATATTCCAACAACTCATGAACCAGGTATAGTCAGAAATCTTTGAGCTTCTTTTTTTTTTTGGCTAGGCAATGGGGTTAAATGACTTGCCAGGGTCACACAGCTAGTAAGTGTTATGTGTCTGAGGCCGAATTTGAACTCAGGTCCTCCTAAATCCAGGGCCGATGCTCTATCCACTGCGCCAGCTAGCTGCCCAATAGTCAGAAATCTTGATCACATATTACTATTTTCTTAAGAAAATTAGGTATTCTCTGGGTTTTTGTTCTTTATGTTGGGGGAGGGAGCTAGTACAAAGTGTCCCCTTCATGAATTACTCCCTAAACTCATACTCGAAGGTTGAAGGTGGCTGCTACCTCAACATTTAAGGGTATTCTATGGGTCTGTACTTCTGAAACTATAGTTCATAAGCACCCCACTGGTCTATTTCCTTTTAGAAGTTAGTCAGTAGACACAATTAGTGAAAAACAAAGGCATTTACTAAGATGGTATCATAAGAACAACAGTAACAAAACATTCCCCCTATAAACTTGAGGTATACTCTGCTTCAACTGTGGTAGGAGGGGTGGGCACACACTTAAAGAGTACATGATGGTAGGGAATATATGTTGTTAAGGCAACTGGCCTGTGGCACTGCAGGGCCCTGGTGTCCTTTCTTTTATGGTGAATTCATGCCTCACCCCCTTGGGAATGGCATATTTACTGGAGAGATCACTCAGCTGGATTCCCAGGGCCTTTTGTTCCCCACAGCTTGATTCCTGACTGTCAGGTCTAGTTCTCTCTTGAATCCACAGTTATCTCTCTTTACTGCCAAAGGTCACATTCCCTGGAGGCTTTCTCCATTAATTGTCCCTTCTGGCTGCTGGGTGAAGAGTGTTCTACTGGGCAAGTAGCTCTAAATGCAGGGGGTTTCTAACCTAAGGTCTGAGAACCTTGTAAAAAAAAAACCTGTATTTCAACATAATTGGTTTTCTTTGTAATCCTATGTATTTTATGCATTTAAAAACATTATTCTGAGAAGAGGCCCATAGGCGTTGCCAGATTATCAAAGGGGTCTGATTTGGTCCCATGGCTTGGATTAAACCAAATACTCGAGTTTGAAAAATTTCCCTAAAAACTGGTACTCAGGGAAATGATACAATGATGAGTTTTATTGTTACATGGCTCAGTAAACAGGCAAACAAAGAACACATACAATATTTATATGGAAATATAAATAGATAGATCATCCCCACAGAAGCAAAAAACTTAACCCAGTGGGAAGGGGTGGAAGACATGTAACGGAAGAAACATACTCAAAGCTTGGGTTTAGGTGGCAAGATTATATACTCTAAGAATGGGCTTGGTTGAGAACAGGTAATTGGTACCAAATGTAGGATTCTGATTAGATCCAGATATGGTAGAAAAATTCTCGGAGTCCCTTATTGATACCAGGTTTAGGTGAAGCTTGGAGAGGAGTTCCTTTTTTCTTTCCTTTTTTTTTTTTTTTTTGGTGAGGGAGTTGGGGTTAAGTGACTTGCCCAGGGTCACACAGTCAGTAAGTGTCAAGTGTCTGGTCTGAGGCCAAATTTGAACTCAGGTCTTCCTGACTCTAGGCCCAGTGCTGTAACTACTGTGCCTCCTAGCTGCCTCCAGGAGTTTCTTTGAGACCACAAACTGGTAGGAAGACTGTCTAATGCAGTCAAAGGAGAATGACTCAAGGCCCCTGCAATAGGTCAAGTGTCCATCTAATCAAAAAGCTGCAAGCCTTATCTGCCTAAATCAGAGTTAACAGAAGAAAAGAACAAACTGTCTATTTTGCCCCTGTGCTTCTATAGGCATTACAACCATTTGGCTTAAATGACTCCATGTTAGAGTTTTATCATTATACTATGACATCAAACTATAACCATAACATCAAATGAAACTATAAAAAATATGAAGTTTATATTCATCACAGGCTCCCTAACATAAATCCGTTAAGAACCCTTGCTCTGATGGAAAAGCACCATGGTTAATGTTGGGGTCAGAGAGGGAGGAAACAAAAGCAGAGAGACAGCCTCTCTCAAGAGCTAGGTTCTTTCTCCATAGCTGGCTCCCCTTTGGGCTCCCAGGGGTCACACTCCTGGTTTGACTGTCTCCAGAGCTTGCAGGATATCTTTTTGAAGGCCACTCGGTTTGTGGCCAGTGTTCATCCAGTTAATGGCAAGCTTCCTTTTCACACTTCTTAACAGATAAAGGATAAAGATGATGTTTTTGTACTTCAGCATGTTAACACTTTGTTATCTGCCCCTTCAGTGATTTCATATCAATTAGGCTGGGGAGGAAATCATTCCATCAGCGTATCCCAACCAATTTCTTCTAATTATATTATGAATAGATTTATAGAATTGTAAGGTACCTTAAAAGGTCTTAGAACCATAGATTTAGAGTTTGAACTTTAGATGTCATCTAGTACAACCTCATCTTTTATGAATGAGGAAACAGGTCATGATAAGTAACTTGTCCAAGGTCACATAGGTAGTGACAGAATTGTGATTTGAACCTGAGTCTTCTCACCTCAGATCACTGCTTTTTCTATTGAGCCACGCTGACCTCTAGTACTTGTTCATGTTTTAGGTAGGATTAAATCTCTGCAAATCAGCCCAGATGTGAAAGTCTGTTCTACTTTTTAAAATTTCTAGAGCAAAAGATTGTACAACTTGACCTAGAAAGTTATAAGTTATGTTAAAAAAAATTTAGAAAAATCCTAGTTGACACATCCTTGGGGGAGTATAAATGGGATCCCTATAAGTACATTTTTGGACACAACCAGTATGAGGTCCTATTCAATGCTAGGAGTCTTTGATTATATGAACAATGCCAATGTAGAGGAATAGGTTTTCTCCTAATTCTTCCCCTTTGAGCTTTATAGGAACAAAAGGAAAAATAAGAATTGTTTTATCTTGATACAATGAAAAGAGCATTGGATTTGGAAGCAGAGGTCCTGGGTTTAAGTCCCAGCTCTATCACTTACTAGTCACTTGACTTAGGGCAAGTTATTTACCCCTCCCTGGCCTCAGTTTCTTCAAATGTAAAGTAAGAGGGTTGGATTAGTTGATGTCTAATATCTCTAAATGTATGGAACTCTAGGAACCTAAACAATGAGATTTAACTTTTTATGTCAAAATCTTACCACAAAACATGTTGTTATTAATCTGTTTCCAGTAGACAAAGATTTAGCTCATGAGCTCTGCAATCTCCCATTGTTAAGGTTATCTTTTTTATTTGACAGAAATGGACAGCTTACCTTAAATTTAAGGTTGGCACTTTAGGCTTCTTAATTAAATCTTCCAACTGTCTATTCCTCTTTTCCAAACTAAAAAAAAAAACTTCTGTTAAGTGAAATTGTATTTCCATATAATATTTTGTTAGAGAAATAGAGAATGTGTTTTATATGACATTTCCTCTCATAAAAGAGATACATATGAATGTAGTATAAATACATATTCATATAAACCTTTGTTTATATTTATGTATGTATACATATATATCTCCTTTTACATTTTGTACTTCTCATATGGGTAGATAAAGTGCCTGAAGAACTATGGACAGAGTTTCACAATATTGTACAGGTGGCAGCAACAAAAAACATCCTAAAGAAAAGAATAGCAAGAAAGTAAAATGGCTGTCTGATGAGGCTTTACAAATAGCTAAAAAAAGAAGGAAAGCAAAAGGTAAAGGAGAATGGGAAAGATATGCCCAACTGAATGCAGAATTCTAGAGAATAACAAGGAAAGATAAGAAGTTTTTCTTAAATGAACAAAGCAAAGAAATAGAAGAAAACAACAGAATGAGAAAGACAAGAGATCTCTTAATGAAAATTAAGATTAATGTGCAAAAAATGGCTAAAAGACAAAAATGGTAGGGGCTTAACAGAAGCAGAAGAGATTATTAAGAAGAAGTGGCAAGAATACACAAAACTATACAAGAAAGAACCACAATGGTGTGGTTACTGATCTATAGCCTAACATCTTAGAGAATAAAGTCAAGTGGGCCTTAGGAAGCATTGCTAACAATAAGGCTAGTGGAAGTGATATAATTCCAGCTGAGCTATTTAAAATCCTAAAAGATGATGCTGTTAAAGTGCTGTACCCCCAACAAATTTGGAGAACTCAACAGTGGCCATTGGATTGCAAAAGATCAGTTTATATCTCAATCCTAAAGAAGGACAATGCCAAGGAATATTCAAATTACTGAACAACTGCACCCATTTTACACAATAGCAAGGTTATGCTTAAGATTCTGCAAGCTAGGCTTCAGCAATATGTGAACCAAGAATTACTAGAAGAGCAGGCTGGTTTTGGAAGATGCAGGGGAACTAGAGACCAAATTGTCTGGATTATGGAGAAAGCAAAGGTAATTCAAGACTTCATACACTAAAGCCTTTGACTATGTGGATCACAACAAAATGTGGCAAGTCCTGAAAGAGATGGAAATACCAGATCATCTTACTTGTCTCCTGAGGAACCTGTTAGAAATGAACATGGAACAATTTATTGGTTTAAAACTAGAAAAGGAATACAATGCTATAAGGTGTTACCTTATTTATTTAACTTATATTCAGAGTATGTCATGTGAAATGCCAGGCTGGATGAATCAAAGGCTGGAATTAAGGCTGCAGGGAGAAATATCAACAATCTCAGATCTGCAGATGATACCATTCTGGTGGCGCAAAGTGAAGAAGAACTAAGAAGTCTCTTGATGAGGCTGAAAGAAGAGAGAGTATAAAAGCTGGCTTGAAGCTCTGCGTTAAAAAAAAACCAACCCAAAACTATGATCTTGGCAACTGTTCTCATCACTTCCTGGCAAACAGAGGGAGAAGAAATGGAAGCAGTGTTAGATTTTACATTCTTAGGCTCAAAGATCGCTGCAGATGATGACTGCAGCCATGAAATGAAAAGACACTTTGCTCCCTGGAAGGAAAGCTATGCCAAATCTGGACAGCATACTTAAAAAGCAGACACATCACCTTGCTGACAAAGGTCTATACAGTCAAAGCTATGATTTTTCCAGTAACAATGTATGCCTGTGAGAGCTGGACTATAAGGAAAGCTGAATGCTGCTGAATCGATGCTTTTGAATTGTGGTTCTGGAGAAAAGTTTTGAGAGTCCCTTGGACAGCAAGGAAATAAAATCAGTCAATACTTAAAGAAATTAATTCGGAATTAACTCAGACTATTCACTGGAAGGTCAAATACTGAAGCTGAAGCTTAAATACTTTGGCCACATAATGAGAAGACAGGACTCATTGGAAAAGACCCTGATGTCGGGAAAGACTGAAGGCAAAAGGAAAAGGGGATGGCAAAAGGTGAGGTGGATAAATGGAAAAGATGAACATGAACTTGGACAGACGTTAAGAGATAGTGGAGGACAGAAGGGTTTGGTGTACTGTGGTCCATGGGGTTATGAGGACTCTGATAGGACCGAATGACTGAACAACAGCATCAACAACCTCTCATGTACTTTTGCATTCTATTTTATATAGTATTTTTGTGCACATGCCCTATGTGAGAGGAATCCTGCTATATTTTGATCTTTAAAAATAATTGATATAAATACAAAAGCTATCACTAAAACAGACTAAAAAAAAGAATGTGCTGAATCATTTCAGGTAGCAAGAGCGTTTTAAAGAACCCATTTGGCTAGAAGTTGGTCAGAGATTATGGTGCTATAAGGATGGTGGTATTAGATTCCCTCTGGTATGTACTTCCAATGAAATATCCTTAAGTATATGTTCCAGTGGTACTATTGGATCTGGTCTTGAGCATACAGAAAGGCACCCTTAAAAGGAAGAGAAAACCTAAGACTGGTTAAAAAGGGGCTATCTCTAGATCTCATTTAATTATCTTGTGTATGTATGTGTCCCCTTGAAAAAATGTAAACTCCCTGAGGTCAGGGACTATTTCATAGTCTTTGCTTTCTGAGTATCTAGCACTGTGCCTGGGACATAGTAGGTGCATAAACTTTGATTGATTCTGGGGCCTCAGAAAATTACACTTCCTACAACTTAGAAAAGCAGTAGTATGTCATCTCACAGATAAAGGACTGTTGGTGTGGCAGGAAACCATTTCACTGACCTAGTAGGTGGAGTGGGATGTGGCCTTCTCCATGTAGTGGTCAGGCTGGAGTGGTTCAGGGAAAACAATCCCCTGCTGTGACTGTGACTGAACCTAGCCCATCGAAGTAAATCTTCAGAAACATCCAAGACACCCTCTGTAAAAGCTATGGTCTTATAAAGATGAAAAGGAAAATGTTCCTTACTCATGACATTCCTTGACACGCTATAAAGAGAAATGTAGTCCCTGTGTAAACTGTTCTCTTCATTCTGCTTACTTTACTCTGTATATACAAGTTGGACATGGGGGAAAACTTGTGGGAAGGCATTGAAACTAGTACATCAATACCCAGAAGCCCTTCTGGTGTGAGACAAAAAAGATGCCTGATCAAAGAAAAGACAGAGAATGCCCCACACCCACAGAACAACTAAGGCAGATCATGAAGACCTTTACATTTAGACAACAAGTGACTCAGGAAAAGGCTTCTCCTCATCACCTGCTCAGTGTGAAAAACAAGGTGAGAGAGAACTTTCCAGCCCCTGGCTGCTCCCCACCAGGGGTACACTGTAAGGTAGGGTCCTCTGGCAGCCAGTGGGCTGGAGGGGTGGGAGAGAAGAGAGGTCTTAAGGTAGAATTCATCAGAGCAGGGCAGTTGACCTGTGGGGCAGGAAGGCAGCAGTTGTGACTGATAATCCTGACAAAGGCCTGTCTCTCTTCCCCCTGAAGCTGCTGTCTATGGTCAGTTTATAAAAGATAAGCAAGGCAAGACTTCTGGACTAGGGTTCTGAAACTAGACCTTATACTACTGTGTTAACAGGGAGGAGAGCAAGAACACTGGGGGAAAAGTCTACAGCAAAGTGAAGGCCTTGGGAGTCAAGGTGGTGATCCAATTGTCATTGCCTGTCTGAACGTACCTCACTATGCTGTGTGTTTTCCAAGACAGTGGGCTGCATTATGAACTGTTGGAGGACCTATGGCCCAGCATACATGGAGGGCTGGACAGTGATGTTGCTATGGCACAAACTAACAGCTCCATGCTAGGTCCCTGACAACACTTTCTGAACCCTGCCCTTTTCTTTCAGGCAGGCCTATGCCAAAAGTCTTGGGGCCCTGGTACTCAGCTTGCTATGCCCTGACATGTGCCTATGAAATGGAGGGATTGGGGTAGATCATGTTGTATAGCCTGGCCCCCAACCATTGTACCCAGGTAAAATCAGGTCATGTCAAAGGCAACTTTATGAACTCTGTATTGACTTTTTCATTACCTACAAAGCCCAGTTCAGTCTTTCTAGAATCAGTGCTTTCTGGATGTACTGCTATTTAGTTCTTTTATGGGTCTACTTAGTACCCTGGAAGATCCACATTCTACTCTCTGGAACCCTTGCTAGGATCAGTTTAAAAAACCCAACAAACTTTTATTGATGCCTTTTGATTTTATACCACAGTCATTTCTAGGTACACAACCTTCTTTCCACCCTCTGCAAAATGAACCTTCCCTGGTAACAAAGGAAAACAGTTGAGGAAAACCAACCAGTGCAATGGTTGTATCTGGCAGTCTATGTAATATTCTGCACCCATAGTCCACCTCTCTACCGAAAGGGGGATGGTGTGTTTCATTTTCTGTTTTCTGGAAACAAAGTGGTCATTACAATTAGTTCAGCTTCCTTTTAGTGTTATTTTCATTTACATCATTGCATATATTGTTCTCCTGGTTCTATCTAACATTGCTGCATCAGTTCTTACAAGTAATCTCATTTTTCTTTGAATTCCTCCTAGTCATTGTTTCTTGCAGTGCAATCATATCACAGCCGTGAAACCAGTGCATGCATAAAGTAATCCTGTTTGTATTGTCTCTGTTGGACATCCACCTAAGCTAGTCTGCTGCTGTCTGTTACTCTGCTGGTCTTCAGCTATTCAGTCTCTTTAGGGCCACCTCTTACTCTCTGCTGTCATCTTCTAAGGCTGAAGTAGCTAATAAGCCTCTCCCCACTAGGAGACAACTACAACTCTTTAAATGCATGGTTTAAGATTATGAGTAACCACATCCAGCCAGGCAATCAGCAAAAGCTAGCAGAATACTCCAGTCTAAAACTGTCTATTCTTTCAATCTTTTTCTACTGGCACTGAATTAGACAACCTGACTTAGGGTTAGACAATAAGTCTCTTATTGCCAGTCTGTATCCCCTAAACCCAGACTCCACCTAAAAAACTCTCACCTCCTTCCCTCTCCCTCAACCCCAGAAGAAGTAAGGGGGCTGTGAGAAAACTCTCACCTCCTTCCCTCTCCCTCAACCCCAGAAGCAGTAAGGGGGCTGTGAGGAAAATCTCCCCCACATGATTGATATACAGATGAATCTAAGGATAAGAACAGAAAGTCAAAGCAAAGCCACTGGCTGTTCCACATTTCCTGCCATTACTGTCCCATTTGTCAACAACAAAAGCACTGACTTTTGTGAAACTTTCCATCTAATCTTCCTACACTTGTACGGTCTCTTCTGAACCTTAAGTAGACCAGGGCCCTATTCTAAAATATGGTGCATTTCCTCTTTTAAAGAGTCTAAGAAAACTAACTCATTGTTAACTAAATGCTCTAAAGGTATCAGTGACTACTTAAAACTGCAAAGCATAAATAAATTTGTTTTGTCAACTTACTGTGCAATCTGGAAGTGAGACATCTCAAGCCTTTGGTCAGCACATTCTATAATCTCTTCATATGATGTTACCTTTAATAAAATAAAGTTTAATATTTAAAAAAACCAAGCCAGAGGTAGTAGAAAGAGACCTAAAGCAAACATATTTGTTGTCTGATAATTGTTAATTTGGTTATTATAGTTTATTGAATGCTAAAGATATTTTGTAAGATTTTACTTATTTTAGTTGATTGTGTTTGCTGATAGTTAAAAAAATAAATTAATGGATTTCCTGCTGGATCCTAGTAACCATTTCTAGAAAAAGTGTTAACAAAGTGGTTCGGGGTATATTTAAGGCTCAGCAGGTGTGGTTTGAACATGTACCTCCTCCTTCCTCTCCCTCCCATTATTTTTTTCTCTATATCACACTCATAATTGTAGGATATGGACTCTGGCATTTGCTTACAGCCATTGTCTGCCTCCTCAGATCTGGCGCCTTGGTCACAGAATCACAGACTCTTAATGGGTAAGAAACTTCAGAGGTCATCACCTAGTCCAACCCATACTTTTTGTTTGTTTGTTTGTTTTTAATATAAATTTATTTATTTTTAGTTTTCAACATTCACTTTCACAAGTTTTTGAGTTCCAAATTTTCACCCCATCTCCCCCCTCCTCCCCCAAGATGACATGCATTCTGAATATCCCTTCCCCTAGTCTGTCCTCTCTTCTATCTCTCTCCCCTTCTCTTATCCCCTTCCCCTTCTATTTTCCTGTAGGGCAGGATAGACTTCTGTACCCCATTTCCTGTATTTCTTATTTCCCAGTAGCATGTGAAAACATTTTTTTTAAACATATGTTTTTAAAACTTTAGGTTTCAAATTTCCTCTCTTCCTCCCTCCCCACCTACCCTCATTGAAAAGGCAAGCAACTCAATATAGCCAGCCCATACTTTGACAGAAACCTTCTCTATCTCTGGAAAATGGCAGTCCAGTCTCTGAAGGCCCCCAGTGATAGGCATTCCACTCCGTTTCCAGTGAGCCCAGTCCATTGTTGAGACAGCTCTAATTGTTAGGAAGTTTTTCCTTACAGTGAACTAAAATCTGTCTCTTTTCTGCAGATTCCTTTCATTGTCCCTTGTTCACCCAGTCATTCAACAGCAGTTATTAAGTGCCTACCACAGGACAGATGCTGGAGAGGCAAAGACAAAAAAACAAACTCTCTCTGCCCTCAGGGAGTTTACATTCTATTGGGATAAATAACACATAAGTAGAAAATTAAATTTTAAAATATACAAAATAATTTTCTTGTCAGGGAGGGAGGGAACCAGCAATGGAGAGTCAAGACAGGTATCTGTAAGAAGGGGCCCTTAAGCTGGACTCTGAAGAAAGGTAAAGATTTTATGAAGGAAAGGTGAGGAGGAAATGCATTCTAGGCCTGGAAAAAGCCTATGCAAAAGTATGGGAGATAGAATGAGACAAATTAAAAAACAAATGGCTTGGTCATAATCATAGTGAAGTATGATAGAACTAGATGGACTACTACCAAGATGAATTATCAAGCTATGAGGTAAATTATTTGCAGGATTTTTTTTTTTTGCATGGCATGCCTGTATAGTGGCCACTCATATCAGTATCTTAAAGGATTCACAGCTATATGAGTTTAACTCCTGAAGAATCCCATTCTTTTAGTATTTATGAAACCTCCACTAATGGAGAGGGGAAACTCCTGAAGAATCCCATTCTTTTAGTATTTATGAACCCTCCACTAATGGAGAGGGGAAACACTTAGAAAGGAGACCAATCAGAAAGAGATTATTGTAAGAATCTGGAAGAGAAGTAGAAGTAAGTGATGAGGACCTGAACTATGGTGGTAGCTGTGTGAGTAGAGGGAAGGGCATAGATATGAAATAGAATTGTAATTGTGGAGATAGAATTTGTAATTGATTGTGAAGGGTAAGGGAGAGGGAAGAGTCCAGGATAATCCAAGGTTGCAAACCTAAGGGAATTGGAAGGATGGTGGTATCGTCAACAGAAATAGAGAAGTTAGGAAGAGAGGTAGGTTTGGGAGAGGAGGGGGAGAAGATAATTATGTCCCTTAGATCCAAGAAGAATGAATCTAATCTCTCTTCCATGCCCAGACTTCATAGAATCTCAGAGTTGCAAAAGCCCTGAGGTACTTAAGAACAGCCATCATGCCACTCCTTGCCTTCTCCCTGCTAAAACATCCTCACTTCTAATCAGTCCTCATGGAATTGTCTCCATCACACTCACCACCCTGGTTATCCTCCCTGGAATGTGTTCTAACTTTTCAGTGTTATTTCTAAAATGTGGTGCCCAGAACTAAACATAGTGCTCTGGATGTACTGTAGGATGATCACCTGGCCTCCCTTAAGGCAGCCTAAGAATGCAATCCCTTTGTTGCTGCAATATTGCATTGGATGGGCAGGCATGGATGGGTTGTCATCTGTATCATTGGAGGGAACTCCCAAATAGTCCATTTGAGTATCAGAATATATTGCACTGTTGATTTATATTGAGCTTCCAATCTACTATGATTCCCAGATGATTTTCAAGAGGATTGGTTTCTAGTTACAGCATCTTTATCTCATACAGCTGATTCCTTGAACCCAAGAGTAAGATTTTATATCTACCCTTATTAAATCTGAGCTCATTAGATCTTTCTGCATCCTGACTCTGGGTTCTAATGCTAGTTATCCCTCTGATGTTAATGTCATCTATCCCCAAAAAGGCTTGTACCTCTTTGAAACCAGAATCAAATCAGCATCCTAGGGATCCCCATAGACTCATGTGCTACAGTCAGCTACTTTACCAGATGACCTATTAAACAGAACTCAGAAAGTGAAGTAGGCCCTCATTTTCCCTCCATTCACTCAACATTCTCTCTCCCCACAAATAGTGCGTAAGAGTAAATGTGGCTTCACCCCTTCACATTTTCCCAGCTGATAACAAAATATGACTCAGCTGGATCCAGTTCACCAAGAAGCCTCAGCTATTCTCTGCTGGTTTCTGCTGTGTATGCAAGCCAGATTAACTCCTGCTCTCTAGATCAGGGCTTCTTATACTTTTCCCACCCCATTTGGAGTCATGACCCACAGTTTAAGAAGCAGTGCTCTAGATGTCTTATGACAAGGCTTTGACAGCTTGTTAAGTAACTTTGATGGAGATATGACAAAGCTCACGGACACTCTTTTGTCCTTGTAGGCCAAAAATGTGCAGATATGGGACAAAGGAAAGTTTAGAAATGGCACACCTCACCCCCAGACAGTTTTGTAAATGTATTCCCTATGTGTTACTGTCTGACAAAAGCTTTGAGCCTTCATATGACAAATGTAACTTGACCTATTACCAAATTAATAGTGATGTGTCAGGGAGAGCAGAATTTTCTGGCATTAAAAATACTGCACTTACATAAAAACTAATATTTTAAATGTGGGCCTCATTGTGCCACCCTGAATGTTGAACCTTAGAAGACTGTTTACCTTGAGTGCTACTAGTCTTGGCTTTTCCTAACAGTCAAAATGCAACCATGCAGAGGCAGTTCATATGTAATAACAGAGAAGAATGTACCCTGCAGGTTCATATGGCATGCCCCACTAACTTACAGAAGATGAAAGCTAGATAGTAATTCAGAGATTACAATCAGAGATGGTAATTCATCCCCACCTCCCATCCCCCCATAGAGATAAAGAAAAAACTGGGGCCCAGAGAGCCGAAGTGAGTTAGCCATGGTCACAGTGGTAATAATAATAATAATGATAGCTAACATTTATATAGCACCTACTACATGTCAAGCACTGTACTTTACAAATATTATCTTATTTGATCCTCACAACAACCCTGGAGGGTAGGTGCTATTATTATCCCTGGGAGAGCCAGTAATTGAACTGGCATTCTTTGGACCACTTTTTCTACTACTGCAAACCCTCTTGACCATGAAGACCTGACTCCTCTGCATCTAAGCTCAGGAGGCTTCTCAGAGAGCTGTGGCTTCCCTTTGCTTGATGGATCCATGATCCACTGATCCTCCAAACAAGTTTGTGGAATGAGATCAGGACCTCTCAGGATTCCTTGAATGACTAGGAAGGCTTCAACCCTGGAGAATTTCTCCAAACCAATTACAGTCATACCAGTTACAAAAGAGTTTGATGATAGGCCAGCTCACAGGAGATTACCAGTAATCTCCCCAAGACAGACCCCCTTTGGAAGAGTTCCTAGAGGAATTCTAGCAAACTTTTGATGAAACTCCTGCCAAGTGGTGGAACTGGTGGAACAGACACCGTGGGTGGAAGTGTACAGGGCCAGCTTGTCTTAGGTACTTAGTCAATAGTGGCCTGGCATTTTTTGTTCAGTTTGTGGAAGACTTGGTCAGTCTACTCTGGAATGAACTCAGTGTAGGTAGAATAAGTTGGATAAAGCTGATTCAGAGTGTCTCTGTATCGAAGAGCATCTCCAGCCATTCAGAAGTGAATGACTGGTTGAGAAAACAATGTCTGAAAATAAGATTTGGGATGATAGCCTTCTGGCAAGGACAGAGCATACCTACCAAATGTATTTTCCTGAAGTCTTGCCAATTTCGTTTAAAAAAAAATTTAAACTGAAAAGGGAGGAAGAGGAAGAAAACTGGCTATACATGTCAACCAAGGTAGATACCACAGATTGTTGTTGTTCCTCCTTCATTTTTTTGTTTGTTTTTTTTTTGTTAGGCAATGGGATTAACTGACTTGCCCAGGGTCACACAGCTAGTAAGTGTCAAGTGTCTGAGGCCAGTTTTGAACTCAGGTCATCCTGACTCCAGGGCTGGTGCACTATCCACTGTGCCACCTAGCTGCCTCTCTCCTTTGTTTTAAAAGAGGACCTATGACATCTAGAGGGTGATGTTTTGACTTGCAAATGAATTGGATTTAAGTGAGTCAGAGCTGTGCAAATTCATCAGGCTTGTTTTCTCCTCCAAAGTCGGCAGAGTCCAGTGGCAAGACATAAATCAAGATGATTGGTGATGGCCCAACGATACTACGGAGAAGCAACAGTGGAAGAAGAATAGTATTATACCGAAAGTCCACTAGAGATAAAATT